ACCACGACGACGACGCCGCCGACGACCACGACGCCGACCGTGGCGGCGGCGTCAACGACCGTGCCGACAACGCAGACGGCGCCGCCGCCGACGGCGCCGCCGAGGACGGCGACAGCGACGACGCTCCTCCCCTTCTTGAGGAAGGACGGATGATGGCGATGCTGCCGACGACGACGGATGGCGACGACGACCTTGATGACGACTTCAGCGACGTCGACGACGACGAGGATGATCTCAACGATGACGATGACCTCGACGACATCGATGGTCTCGACGACGGCGATGATCCCGACGACGACGGCGACGATGGTGATCTCGACGACGACATTGATCTCGCTGACATCAATGAATTTGGCGACGATGATTGTGACGGCGTTGATGATCTCGACGATGGCGATATCTGGGCGACGACGACGACGGCGTCGTCGACAACGATGATCTCGACATGGTCTCGACGACAACGATGATTTCAACGACGCTGGTGATCTCGACGACGTCGACGGCGACGGGGAGGATCTCGACGATGACGACGACGACCGGCGAACACGCCCAGGGTGACAAAGTTGCAGCGCCATCAGGGCGCCAGAGACGGGGGCACATCAAGCGGGTGCACTGGAAACGCCGATCTCCACGTTTGGCCATGCCTCCGTTTAGGGCGCCCTGGGCGCCGTAGTCGGGGGCACAGTAAAGGCGGGGGTTCGTAGAAGGAGGTTTATCCCAAGGTGGGGCTGGGGAACAGGCCCAGCTGGATGCTCCCGTTGAACGCGTTTCCCTCTTCCAGGGGCCGTTCGGAACGGTTTTCCTTCCAATCCCACCTTTATCACTGCTCCCAAGGCCTCCTACCCACTTTCACCCAGGCGACTGGAGCCAACCAGGAACCATGAGGGTCCCCCCACCATCCCTTGTAAAACAACAATACAAAGCACACCGTGCTTCCAAATTCGGGGCATGCGCAGCGAACCCGATGCGGCCTCCCCCACCATCCCTGTCAAAAAACAATACAGAGTGCGGCGGCTGCGGCTGCTGCGGCGGGGGCAGCGGCTGCGGCGGCTGCGGCGGCGGCGGCGGCGGTGGCGGCGGCGGCGGCGGCGGTGGCGGCGGCGGCAGCGGTGACGGCAGCGGTGGCGGCAGCGGCTGCGGCGGCAGCGGCTGCGGCGGCTAGCGGCGCGGCGGCGGCGGCGGCGCGGCGGCGTGGCGGCAGCGGCTGCGGGGCAGCGGCCGGCCGGCGGCGATTTGGCAGGGGGCGGCGGCAATGGGCCGCGCGGCGGGGCGGCGGCGGCGGACAGCGGCAGCGGCGGCGGCGGCGGCGGCGGCGGAGGCGCCGGCGGCGCCGGCGGCGGATGGGCCCCCAGTAGTTGCCCATCCAAAGACGACTGCTGAATATGCTGAGGCTCGGGCCAGTCTCGGGTGCTACGTGTGTGTTGGGAGGGCGGGTGGGAGTGAGCGAGACGGCTTGCGGGCGGGGAGGGGAGTCTTGACCCTAACCCCACCTTGGCCCCCCCCCCTCCCCCTCCCGAGAAAAGCTGGGGCATCCGGAAAAGCCTGCGCCCCCCGCTCAGCGAAGCCCCCGCTCACGAAGCCGCGACTCCAGGATCTCGGGGACGCTCCAGGGCGGGCCGAGGGTTATGATGTTCCAGCGTACTGGAGCCTTGACCACCAGAAAGGATTTCGAGCGCCAGAACAAAGTCACCGAAACTCAAGGGTTTTCACGTGTCGGGCCCTAGGAGACACTCGCCCGACACTGTTTTGACACTCTTTCGATGGTTTTCTGGGTGCTCGAACTTATTTTTGGGATGTGGTCCTAAGTACGATGGGAGCAACATAATGCTACCATCGTGGTCCTCCTCCTCCTCCTCCTCCTCCTCTTCCTCCTCCTCCTCCCCCTCCCGCTTCTCCTCCTCCTCCTCCTCCTCCATCTCCTCCTCCTCCTCCTCCTCCTCCTCCTCCTCCTCCTTCGACGCGGCAGAAGTCGAGGGGCGGCAGGAGCCCTGAGGCCTTCGGCGGCGGGGACGGGCGCCGCCCGCGGAGGGAGGGGCCGCCGGGCGCCATGTCGTTCACGGAGTTCGAGATCGACGGAAGGCCGCCGGGGCCGCGATCTCCGGCTGAGCCTGGCGGAGGGATGGGAGTGAGGAGGGAGGGGGGAAGGGGGGGGGAGGGACGGGGGGGGGAGGGAGGGAGGACGAAGGAGGAGGATGAATGGGGGGAGAGGCAGAGGGAGGAGGATGAGGAGGAGGAGGAGGAGGAGGAGGAGGAGGAGGAGGGGAGGAGGAGGAGAGGAGAGGAGGAGGAGAGGAGGAGGAGGAGGAGGAGGGAGGAGAGGAGGTGGGAGGAGGAGGAGGAGGAGGAGGAGGAGGAGGAAGGAGGGAGGAGGAGGAGGAGGAGGAGGAGGAGGAGGAGGAGGAGGAGAGGGGAGGAGGAGGAGGAGGAGGAGGAGGAGGAGGGGAGGAGGAGGAGGGAGGAGGAGGAGGAGGAGGAGGAGGAGGAGGAGGAAGAGGATGAGGATTTTGCCGCTGCACTGCTCTGAACTGATTCCTGGCAGCCGTAAGACACGGCATGGCAGCCAGGCCGCCGTCGAGCGCGGCGCTTAAACCAGACGAGCACCGCACAGGACTGGTCATACATGCGGTGCTGCCCGCACCAAGATGCGGGCCACACGACAAGGCTATGCCCCCGTGGCGTCCGACACCTTTAGCCCACAGGCACAACCTGCGGGCCAACCGTCGGGGCACGTGCCCCCGTGGCCAGAACCAGGAGGAGCACGTGCTCCGCGAAAGATGCGCGAGACAGGGCACGCAAGGAGGCCGTGCTCCGCGCGCCCTGCTCGGGGTAGGGGGCGCCGGAGGCCATGCTCCGGCGCCCAGCCTACCCACCACCCACTCCGTGGGTGGCCGCGGCGACGAGGGTCCCAAAGGACGGGCTGCGCGGCGCCGCCAAAAGACGACGCCGCGCCACCCGCCCCCAGGAACCCAGGTTTCGGACCCTAGGACACCCAGGACCGAACCAAAAAGCGGAACGACACGACACGACACGACGGGGGGACGCAACGGCCACGACACGACACGCACGACACGACACGGACGAACGACACGACGGAGACGAGCCGCCGGTCCCGCCCCAGGGCGGCGAGCGCTGGGGGGACCGCCCTGAGGGAGGCCACGGGACCTGGCGACCCCCCCGGGGGAAGGAAACCGCACTTTGGCGGCGTCCCCCAGGGTGCGGGGGCTTGTCGCCTCGAGGGCCCGGCGGTCCCCGCTTCCGCCAGGGGGCCGAAGCCCGACCCCACTCTTGGGGGCCCCCCCAGGGCAGGAAGAGGAGGAGGAGGAGGAGGAGGAGGAGGAGGAGGAGGAGGAGGAGGAGGAGGAGGAGGAGGAGGAGGGGAGGAGGAGGAGGAGGAGGAGGAGGAGGAGGGGAGGAGGAGGAGGAGGGAGGAGGAGGAGGAGGAGGAGGAGGAGGAGAGGAGGAGGAGGAGCAGGAGGAGCAGGAGGAGCAGGAGGAGGAGGAGGAGGAGGAGGAGGAGGAGGAGGAGGAGGAGGAGGAGGAGGAGGAGGAGGAGCAGGAGGAGGAAAATACGGACACGATAAGACCGATCGCGAAACGATGCCAAAATAACATGAGGCCCTAGCCAACTGCTCAGCCTTGCTGGGCACTTTGGGCCGTGAGCCACGTTGGATTCGCCCGAGGTGCTCCCTCCTAGTCTTAGTAGGTGGCCTTCCCGTAGCTACAGGGCAAAACTTCGCAAGAACCCTGAGTTGCTGGTCGCATTAGCATTCACAAAGCCCACACAACTACAGGTTCAGGTCATCATGATACTCCAGGGAATCGGGACGGTCGACCTCCCCCCCAGCGAGATGTAAGTTCGACCTGGCGGCAACCTTCTGTCAGACTAGGCTGTTCCTCGAGCTGGCAACAGGAGCTGCTGAGCCACTCAGCTTGGGTGGCATCCGACGCTGTCCTGTTACACATCGTGCATGTCGTTCCACAGGGCGACACTTGATGCGAACTGCTGAGGAGAGCCGCCGAAACAGCGGGAGGGGGGAGGAGGCGCACGAGCAGTATCAGAGGCAGGCAGACTTTTCTTTCTTCTGCCACCGCGCTCGGGCTCCGCCACCTCGATAGTTACTCGAAGCAATCGATGTCTGACCTGGCAAGCTTCGGCTTCAACGATGGCCACTCGGTGTCTCTGCTCTGCTGAGACGCGCTTGGACTCGGCGGCAACTTCCGCCTGTTCGTCCGCAAAAGTGTTGCCCTCTACCATCCATCGCGGGACATTCTGGGAAGGAGCGTGCTCTACCTCCAGATGTGAGGCAACCTTCGTAACAACAGTCTCGGCTGGGCCACGACCCCTCGACTTGAGGTTCTTGTCTATGCGCCGCCAGATGTCTGTTTTCGATTCCGCAGGGAATTCGAAAAGTCGGCACCACTACCACCTCTGGGAAATCTCGCCGTTGACAGTTGCGCAGACACGAGGGCCCAGGGTCCACTGGACCCCGACCAAACAAGCACCGAACCTCATCATCGGTGTGCAGCTGAGCGGTGTTCGCCACGGCCAACCCTACCCGACGAAGTCGAGGATCGTGCGCGTCGGTCCCGCCTGAGGCATCGCCGTGCAGGATGATTGGTCTCTCAAGAGTGCTTCCATCCCTTCTTCTCCTCCTCCCCCTCCTCCTCCTCGTCCTCCTCCTCCTCCTCGTCCTCCTCCCTCTTCCTCCCCTCCTCCCCATCCTCCTCCTGCCGTTTCCGAAAAGGCCAGCCCAAATAGGATGGACCTCGGGGGGGGGGGGTTAGGCCAATTCTCCTCTTGGCAAGGGGGATCAGCCTGGGTCCACGCGGCTGGGTTCAACCCACGGAACCAGTAAGTTTCGTCGCCAGAAGATCGAGAGAGAGAGAGAGAGCCCTAGGTACTACATCGCTGGAGGAGGAGGGAAGGGAGGGAGCAAGGGAGGGAGGGAGGGAGGAGGATGCGTTTCCTTTCACTTGGCGGCTGCTGCTGGTGCACACGGTGCGCCCATGTTTGGACACCGGGGACGCACCGCCTGGGTTGGGCACTCCTTGTTTTTTCGTGGCGTAGACGCAGCTGCTCCTCGGCTCAATGCCTGGGCAGTTCAAAACAAGAGATGGGGACGAGGGTGAGGATGAGGGAGATGATGGTGATGAGGATGAGGATGAGGATGAGGATGATTGTGATTGTGATTGTGATTGCGATTGTGATTGTGATTCTGATGATGCTGCTGCTGATGATAGTGATGGGGATGGTGGCGACGGCGATGCTGCTGCTACTATTGCTGCTGATGATCGTGACGTCGATCAAAATAATGATGCTGCTGCTGCTGATGCTGATGATATGCTGCTACGTATGAGTTTTTTTGGTACTTTTATTTGTTGTCAGTGTTATTATTCTCTTTCTGGTTGTATTATTACCCTTGTTATTTGTACGAACACTTTTATTACTACTACCACTCGTATTCGTATTAGTACTCTTCTTATTAGTTTAAATTATCTTTCTTATAATTAAGAGTTTCATTATTATTTTCGTGCTCTTGTAATTATTGTTCTTATTATGATGGTGACGATTACAATGATGAGACGGCTGCTGATGATCATGATGCCGATGCTGATGCTGATGCTGATGGTGCTGCTGCTGCTGATGATGCTGCTGCTGATACTGATGCTGATGATGGTGATGATGCTGATGGTGATGATGATGATGCTGCTGCTGATGATGATGATGATGATGATGATGATGATGATGAAGATGATGATCACGATGCTGCAGGAACAGCTGGATCCATGCAATATCGGGCCCAATCCATTGGCAGCCACGCGAGAGCACCGCTCACAGTCCTGGTGGACATCTATATGCGCTGTTGGGTCGCGCGCCGAACTGCGGCAGGAAGGCTACATGCATGCGCGCGGTGGTCGTCAGAAGCTCAGTTTGGAGTCCCCTTTCGTTCAAGTATTCGGCCCTGATTGGAGGGCGCACCGGGATTCTCATTCAACGCAGGCGGCATGGACGGGAGGTTGTGACCGGTTCATCGCTATACTGTGCTTGGCTTGGCAGCTCCCGCAGATTCGAGACAAGGATTGTCTTCCTGACGCACTTGGGCCCCCTCGAGACAGCATGGGCGTTCCGAGGGAAACGGCGGCGATTGATCGCCCGCCACGGGTGCTGCCGCACCCTTTGGGCAACTCTTGGCAGACCTCTCGCGGGAGATTGTGGATCCAAGTTGATTGCAAAGCCTTGGCGGAGACGTTGGCAGGAAGAGCAGTGATGCATTCAGATCGACACGTCCCTGCGGTCGAACGACTCGCTCGCCTGATCGTCAGATTGCATGTGCGAGGGATCCGACCATTCCACGACGCCTTGGACTACATCATTTGGTCGCCGCGCGAGTACAACTCACTAGCAGACCATAGCGCCAACGTGTCCATGGACGATGGAAGAACATGGTCAGAGGGGTGCAACGTCCTGCCAACACCGATCGGCGAAAGAAACATCCGAGTGTGCACAGGTGGCGGGTTCCGTTCAGACGGAGCGTGCGCCGTCGGCATTGCTATCATGGAAGCAGAGCAGCACGCGGACGGCCGCTACAGCTACAACACGGTACATCGTGCAGGTGTTCTTCCGAGGGACATCACATCCGCGTTTTGAGGCCGAGACGCTAGCATTAGAGGCAGGCCTGAACTGGCTCTGCCAGGCAATAGCGTGAGCATGCGCGGGCTAGGGTCCATGCGCATGTCGAAAGAAAACGAAAGAACGATGACCACGAGTGTGATGATGATGATGATGATGATGATGATGATGATGATGATGATGATGATGATGATGATGATGATGATGCTGATGATGATGATGATGATGATGATGATGGTGGTGATGATGATGATGATGACATTGTTGTTACTGATGCTGATGATGATGAGGAGGAGGAGGAGGAGGGGGAGGAGGAGGAGCAGGAGTAGGCGGAGCAGGAGGAGGAGGAGGAGGAGGAGGAGGAGGAGGAGGAGGATGGTGAGATGTGTGGCGGTGGTGGCGGTGGTGATGACAGTCATGCTGTTGCTGCTGCCGGTGGTGGTGGTGGTGGTGATGTTGTTGTTGTTGTTGTTGTTGTTGCTGCTGTTCCTGTTGTTGTTGTTGTTGTTGTTGTTGTTGCTGTTGTTGACTTCTCATTTTGAAGAATAATTATTGTTGATCCCCCTCACCGGTGCATGTTGTTTTTTCTCGATCAAAGTGTGCCCCTCGACGCTCGCACCCTGTTTTTTAACAGGGCAAATCTTCATGCTCAAACTGCGCCCCCCCTGGCCCCCGGGTTACAACAACAACAACGGCTCCCGCCTGAGACTTCCTCACAATGTAGCCAGGACCCCCGCTCCCGCCGGAGACTTCCGCGCATTTTATTCAGGAATCGCGCTTTCGCTTGGACCTTCCTTACAATTTATTCAGGAATCGCTCTCCCAGCGCTCTGGAGTCGCGCTCTCGCTGGAGACTTGCTTGCAACTTACTGACGAATAGCGGCCTTGCGTTGGAATTTCTTGCAATTTGCTCAAGCGCCGCGCTCCCGACACCCAGGCACCCAGGAGTCGCGCTCACGCTTAGGACTCCCTCCCAGATTACCTAGGAACCGTGATCTCGCTGCCCTTCGTGGCCCCGTTGCAGCCCTTCGTGGCCCCCTCGCTTTGTTTCGTGGCCCCGTTGCAGTCCCTCGTGGGTCCCTCGCTTTGTTTCGTGGCCCCGTTGCAGCCTTTCGTGGCCCCGTCGCTGCCCTTCGTGGCCCCGTTGCAGCCTTTCGAGGCCCCCTCGCTTTGTTTCGTGTCCCCGTTGCAGTCCTTCGTGGCCCCCTCGCTTTGTTTCGTGGCCCCGTTGCAGCCCCTCGTGTCCTCCTCGCTGCCCTTCGTGGCCCCGTTGCAGCCCTTCGTGGCCCCCTCGCTTAGCTTCGTGGCCCCGTTGCAGCCCTTCGTGGCCCCGTCGCTGCCCTTCGTGGCCTCGTTGCAGCCTTTCATGGCCCCGTTGCAGCCCTTCGTGGCCCCCTCGCTGTCCTTCGTGGCCCCATATATGTGTGCCCTTCGTGGCCCCCGCTCGCTCGCGCCCGTGGTGGCCCCATATGCATGCCCTTTGTGGCCCCGCTGTCGCCCTTCGTGGCCCCCTCGCTGCCCTTCGTGGCCCCGTTGTTGCCCTCAGTGGCCCCGTCCTTGCCCTCCGCGGCCCAACATACGTATGCCCTTCGTGGCCCCCGCTCATTCGCGCCCGTTGTGGCCCCATGTGCGTACCATTCGTGGCCCCGCTGTCGCCGTTTGTGGCCCCCTCACTGTCCTACGTGGCCCAGTTGATACCCTCAGTGGCCCCATCGTTGCCCTCTGTGGCCCCGCATTATCTGCCCTTCGTGGCCCCCGCTCGTTCGCGCTCTTCGTGGCCCCATACGTATTCCCTTCGTGTCCCCGCTGTCGCCCTTCGTGGCCTACTTCGTGTCCTTCGTGGCCCTGCTGTCGTTCTCTCTCGCTCTCGCTTTCGCTCGTCGTCGTCGTCGTCGCCGTCGTCGTCGTCGTCGTCGTCGCCGTCGTCGTCGACGTCGTCGTAGTCATCGTAGTCGTCGTCGTCGTCGTCGTCGTCGTCGTCGTCGTCGTCGTCGTCGTCGTCGTCGTGGTCGGTCCCCTGTCCGTCCCTCGTGGGGTCGGGTCGACGGTCCGCGGCCGCCCCGCCGATCAGCGCTGCCGCTGGCCAGGCCGACGGTCCGCGGCCGCCCCGCCGCTTGCCGGGGCCTGGCCTGCAGGGAAGACAGGTATACCCCCCGAAAGGGTTTCGATCGAAGACGCAGAGGGCTGGCATTGAGGATTTGGGAAATACGCTTTATCGGACACTCGAGCAGATAAGGGCGAACAGTCTTAACATGATGATGGTTGCTGTTGTTGTTGTTGTTGTTGTTGTTGTTGTTGTTGTTGTTGTTGTTGTTGTTGTTGTCGTCGTCGTTGTTGTTGTTGTTGCTGTTGCTGTTGTTGTTGTTGTTAATGTTGTTGTTGTTGTTGTTGTTGTTGTTGGTGTTGGTGTTGGTGTTGGTGTTGGTGTTGTTGTTGTTGTTGTTGTTGTTGTTGTTGTTGTTGTTGTTGTTATTGTTGTTGTTGTTGTTGGTGTTGTTGTGGCTGTTGCTGTTGCTGTTGCTGTTGCTGTTGCTGTTGCTGTTGCTGTTGCTGTTGCTGTTGCTGTTGCTGTTGTGGTTGTTGTTGTTGTTGTGGTTGTTGTTGCTGTTGCTGTTGTTGTTGTTGTTGTTGTTGTGGTTGTTGTTGTTGTTGTTGTTGTTGTTGTTGTTGTTGTTGTTGTTGTTGTTGTTGGTGTTGGTGTTGTTGAATCAGACGGACAGAGGAGCGAGGCGCCGTCTGGCGCGTTGGTGTTCACAGGGGTGAGGAATACATTGTTCGGGTAGGGGTATGGAGGGAGAGAGCAGGATGGTGGGAGCTCCGGACCCCGACCTTGGGGCTGGCTGTCGGTCGTTGGTCGCCCGATTGTCCAGTGGCGTGACACGGGCTTCCGGAGGGCCCGACTTCTGAGCAGGAAGAGAGGAGGACAGGAGGAGGAGGAGGAGGAGGAGGAGGAGGAGGAGGAGGAGGAGGAGGAGGAGGAGGAGGAGGAGGAGGAGGAGGAGGAGGAGGAGGAGGAGGAGGAAGGAGGAGGAGGAGGAGGAGGAGGAGGAGGAGGAGGAGGAGGAGGAGGAGGACTAGGAGGGGGAGGAGGCAGGACGAGGAGGAGGAGGCAGGACGAGGTTGATCGGGAGGTCGGCTGGGGTCTACATCCGCCGCGCCCGCCGCTGGCGAGGCTGAAGGACCCCGAGCAGCAGGAGAAGCTCGAGCTCCGCGAGGAGGAGCTGCGCCAGGCGCCGCGCCTGCCCGGCACCCTCAGCCGTCGAGGATGCGACGCTTGAGGGTCGACGTTCCAGGATCGACGCTTCTCGCGCCTCGGTCATCGGTCCTCGATCCTCGATCCTCTTCCCTCCTACCTCCTCCTTCCTCCCCCTCGTTCGCCTTGTGATTTCGCCCTCACGAGGGTCGATCCTCGATCCTCGACCACCGATCCTCCTTGTTCCCCTCTCCCCCCCTTCTCCCCCTCCTCCTTGTCCTCCTCCTTCTTCCCCTCACCTTTCCGACTCCTGCTCTCATTTTCCTGGCTCCGACCCGAGCACCCGTGCTCATTTTCCCGACCCTGGCTCCCCTCTTCCGAGCCCCTTCCGCCGTGGCCTGCTCCCACGGCTTCGCCCCACGAGCGGCCTGCCGGTCAAACTCGCGCCCCCCTCGCGGAGGCTGCGGCCTCCACGCCATGCCCCCTACGGGCGTGGGCGGGCTCTCCTTAGCGGAGCGCGCACGACTCCGGCGCTCGTCGCATCTCGCTTCCCCGCAGCTAGCTCTGCAGCATGTGTGCCATCAGGCAAACGGCGACGCGACGGATGGGGCGCACGCCCTCCTGTAGGCCGCCGACCCGTTCGGCGTGTTGACCAGCTCTGGCCACACCTCTGCGCAACCGCACCAGAGTGCCGCGACCACACATCCCCTGACCTCTGCTCTGCCCTCTGCCGCCAGTGCCTCTCCCCGCACTTCTGCTCTCACCCTCCGTTCCATCACGCTTCCTCCTTCACAGGGATCCTCAGGCCGTCGTTGGCCGTCCTGCTGCGCGTGGCGCAGCGGGTCGCCGGCCTTCTCCCTTGCCCTGCCAGCCCCGCGCTTGCACGGCCGCAGCGTTTTTGGTGCTCGCGGCTCGTCCGTTTACACATGCTTGCCTCAGCCAGGCCCAGGGTCGGGGGCAGCCAGAGCGTTCCGAAACGCTCTCGGAGTGTTCTGGATCGCTCGCTCTGGAGAGGCTGCGGCGCCCGATGCATCCTCCAGAACCGCTGGATCTCAGAGATCCTCGAGTCATTCATCCCGATCCTGTCTTGTCCTGCGCCTGGCATCTTTTTATTGCCCGGCACAGCGGTCGCCGCTCCGTGCCTGGTCGGCGCCGGAGAGAATGAGGGCGGCCAGCAGCAGCATCAGAGGCGGCGGCAGCACGGGCGGAAGCAGTTGGGATCAGCGGGATCGCGAGGGAGGAGGAGGAGGACGTGAGAAGGCGAAGGATGAGGAGCAGCTGGGAACGAGGAGGTGAGGGAAGATAGGGGAACCATGGCGAAGACGAAAAGCAGAGAACAAAGAGTCAGGATTGGCGCCGAAGCAGGAGTTGGAGGAGGAGGAGGGGATGATCATGATGATGGTGGTAAGGGCCACGACGGCGTGGTGCCGACGATATGGCGATGACGACGATGCTGATGATGCCGACGGTGACGACTCAAATGTGGACGGCGCGGGTGATGGCGTCGATGAACACGATGCTAATGGTGATGGTGGTGACGATGAGGATGACATGATGACGACGACGATGAAGTGGTGAGGACGCTGACGACGACGGTGATGGCGACGGTGAAGGTGGCGATGACGGTGACCAAGTGGTGGCGATGCCGGGGCGGAGCCGAGGCGCACGGCAAATACCTCCAGAAGCACCCAGAGCTCCGGCAGGCCCTCCGGCTATGCCGCTCTCGCGGGGCGCCAGTTTATTTGTGTTCCCAACCGTCGTGTGATGTCAGGTCTCGAAGAAAAAACAACATAAACATAAACTTTTGGCACTCCGCGCGGATTTCTTGGATCCGCGCGGAGCGCGCCAGGGGCGGCGCCAGAGGCGCCGCCAGGGGGGTCCAGCGCAGATCCACGAAATCCGCGCGGAGTGCCAAAAGTTACGTTTATGCAGGTTTTTTCTTCTTCTGGTGATGTCAGGTCCTCGTTTTGAAGAAGCAGTGCCCGCACCACCTCATCTCACCTGAAGCCCCACCTCCCTCCTCCTTCCTTCCATCCTTGCCTCTGCCCTCCGCACGTGCCATTCGGCACTCCCTCACACGCTTCGTAGCCCCATAGGGAGGTCCAACCAAAGCCCCAGGGGCGGAGAGACCACGTGCGGTCCCCCAGCCATTTCGTCACACCGCCTAAACGTTTCGTGTCCGCATAGGGAGCTCGGTCCCCCAGCCCATTTCGGCGCACCCCTCACAAATGTCGTGACCCCATAGGGAGCTCCAACTGAGTCCCAGTGGCACAGCCCGCATGCGTCCCCCAGGCCCATGTCGGCGCACCCCTCACATGTTCGTGGCCCCATGGGCCATGGGGAGTTCCACCGAAGGCCCCAATGGCAGCGCCCGCATGCGTCCCCAAGGCCCTTTCCCGCACACCCCTCACAACACGTTTCGTGGCCCATAGGGAATTCTACCGAAGGCCCCAGTGGCAGAACCCACATGCGCCCCAGGCCCATTCGGGCACACCACTCACGCGTTTCGTGGCCCCATAGGGAGTTCCACCGACTGCCCCAGTGGCAGTGCCCGCAAGCTTCCCCGATGCCCATTCCGGCACACCCTTCGCACGTTTCGTGGCCCTACAGGGAGCTCCGCTGAAGGCGAGATTCACAAGTGCGGTACTCACAACTGGATGTGGTTGGGCCCTTCGCCAGGCTATGTTTTTCTTGTTTTTCGCGGCGGGCGGGGATCTTCGGGGCAGCCCAGGGTAGGAGGAAGAGGAGGAGAAGAAGGAGGAGGAGGAGGAGGAGGAGGAGGAGGAGGAGGAGGAGGATCGAGGCTCCAGGTTCGAGGATCGATCTTCTGGGACCGAGCTTTGAGGAGCGAGGTTCGAGGCTCGAGATTCGAGGATCGAGGCCCGATGACCGAGGTGCAGTGGTCGAGCTCTGAGCTGCCACGATCGGGCATCGCACTCCGAGGATCGAACTGCGAGCTTGGAGGTTTGAGGATCGCGGTTCGAGGATCGAGGTTCGGGAATCGCTTTCCGAGGATCGAGGTTGGAGGGTCGAGGGTCGAGGATCGAGGGCTGCGGGATACCGAGGTCCGGGGATCGCACTTCCAGCATCGAGGTCTTGGGGTGCTCGCCGCTCTCTGCGGGCCTCCGGGGGAGAGCTCCTCGTCGCCGCGCGGCCGGACACAGACACAAGTAATCGCCGAGTCCCCAGAAGATATGGGAAAGTATGGGAAGTGGGGGGGGGGAAGACAAAGACCCAGGAAGTATGGGAAAGTATGGGGAAGCTTCTTTACTTGTGTGTGTGTGTGTTTATGTGTGTGTGTGTGTTTATGTGTGTGTGTGTGTGTCCCAGGGCCCCTGCAGGGGAGGAGGCGCCGGCGGACGGCGGCGGACGCGCGGGGCCGGGAGGCCGGGGCCCGCGGCGGGCGGGAGGCCGGGGCCTCTTCCCACCCGGGCTATATGGATGGCCTCCGATGGGGCCCTCGTCCCCATGCCTGGCGCCATGCGCAGTTCGGGGGCGGCATGAGAGGGGGCTGATGACGTAGGGGGGGGGGGTGGATTTCATGGCGGGGGCCATGCTGTTTCCCCAGATTTCAGGGCGCCTCTTCTCATCTCATGACGTCTCTGGCCCCCCCGCTGGGCCGCGCACGTGCCGCCGGTCGTGATTTGCACCCCCCCTCTTGGACACCCCCCTCTTGGCCGCTCCCGAGCAGTTCCCCAGCGTATCAGCATCCCAGTTGGGGATACACCTCTCGGAACCTGAAGGAAGCGCCCTCCATCACCATCTCGGGGGGAAGATCGGCCCGGGGGCTCCTGCCACGCACATGGGGACAATTAACGGTCGGTGCAGCGATGCCCATCGAGCTGGTGGACGCGGGGGCCAATGCAAGCGGGGGTCGGCCAGTGCGCGGTATCTTGCAGGATCCTGCGCAGCCAGGGCTGCATTGATCCAGGTTGGCGCGCAGGATCCTACAGGATCCTGCAGGATTTCGCAGGATCCTGCCAAGCCTGACAGACCTGGGTTTGCCTTGATGCGGGTCAGCAGAAGCCCGAATCTCGATTGCCAGAGGGCGGCGATCGTTCAGAGTCGAGCGATGCGGTCGGAGAGTCAGAGGCCACCGCGTTCGTCGCCACGGCACGAGCCTGCCGTGTCTATCTTCCTCCTTGGCGGCC